AGCCTTCTGCTTCTGTACTCCTTCTGGGTTTGTATTACTTGTTTTTGTACATTTTGGGCCAGCTCTTCTTACAACCTGCATTTACTTCTGGTTCTTCAATCCTTGATGAGGACCGGATCATCTACCTTTATTCTTTGATACTCTAATACTTAAGTATGTAACATTTGTTTTTTCCTGGTTCTCAGGTGAAATTCTTGCATGCACCTCAATTCACAAGATTTTTTCTCTCCACTCTTCTTCTTTCACCTACATTTAGCATTATTGCAGATTCTATCAGTCTGTGATTAGTGTTGACTCACAGTTGCCATATCCTTTCTGAACTTAAGATTCCTTCTTTTTGGCTTATGGTTGTAATTCTTCTTCTTTAATAGTGCTCCTATCCCTTGAATCTTTTTTCCCATATTGGAGATTTTTTCTTATACCTTTGACTCTTTTTACCCACAATCTGCTTTTCTTCATCTTTTTTTCTACTTACATTCTTAACTTGTCATCCTCTTTTCTCTTTCCTTTGGAGACTTTGCATTTCTACATCTTGTCCCATCTGCTTCTCTAGCTGATGCCTGGTTCACTTTGCTTGATTCTGAGAATTGCTTCTTTGGGATACTTGTTATCTGGAGTTAGATTCACACAGTTTTATCTCATGGAACTCTATTTGACACCCATCCTTTATACAGACCTTTTGAGGAATTCCTCATCCTGTGGCTCCTTCCTGGTGTCCACCCTACCAAGAGGCTAGCCACTACGTGACTCAGTGACCAGTTGTCTCTGGAACCACCCCTCAGTTTTGGTCTTGTGAAAGCCTGGCTTTTACTCTGTGTCCACTTGGTTCCTACAGTTTTTCTTTTAAAAGCTTTATTTGCCATTCAGGGCTCACATCAGTTTGTTTTTAGCTAAATTCTTAGGGCATTCTCACAGAGATTGCACAAGGGGAGGCTGATGTGGATAGTCCTCCTACATCTCAGAAGTTGTTTACCAAACCATTCCTGGTGGCTGTGACAGCTAGATGGGTCTTGCATTCTCCTCAGGACACAGATATGGGATTATTCATCTTTGTACATGCTTATTCTAATAAGTATTTCTCATGTATTTTATGACTTGACTTATTGCTGTAGCCACACTAAACATACATGAGATATACATGCCATTGAGCAGCATTTACACTTTGCCCATCTCTGCAACACTTTAGTACCATGTAGAAGATTTTTTGATAGTACTTTTTCCACTACCACTTGTATTATGCAAAGAGTATTCATTCCCTGCATGAAATGAATATAGTCTACTACTAAGTGATGCTCCCTCTAGTCTGCCTCTAGTGGGTGACACACTGCATGAGTTTTTGTTTCTGTCACTATATTCTCAGAAAGTAGCTCATCGTTTAAATTTCTTTATACAAACTATACAAACTAGTATGGGATTCTAGTTATCTGTTCTTTATACAAACTAGTATGGGATTCTAGTTATCTGTTCTGTAGAGAAGTGAGTAGCATTTTTGATGTTAACATTTTTCTTATCTGAAAATGTGTTTCAGATAAATACTCACCTCTCTGAAGAATCACCCACCCTTCCTCCCAACTTCTGGTGGGTCTCTTTTGCCTCATCAAGAATGAGCTTTTGGTAAACACAATGTTCTCAAGGATGGTGTAGAGGTACAGTCTATTGTTGATTGCATCATAGACTGTTATTATGTGTAGATGTAGGAGTTTTGTTTAATGACTTGGAGCGTGAATATGAAATTTTGGCAATGATGGGAGGTGATATCTCTGGGAAGATAAGCATCTATCTGAAATACATCTTCAGGTAGGGAAAATGTTAACTTTGCAAATGTAAACTGAATGAGTACTACTAATTTTTTATTTCTAATTACATGACTGATTATAAGAGGCCTAATTTGAATAAAAATTAACTGAGGAGGCTGAATGGTATTATAACAATGTTCATTTGTTTTGTTTTTGCCATTGCCATTCAGTCTTTATTTTGTATGGGGCCTTACTGATGAAACAATGCATTCTAGTCTCTTTATAAGTAAGAACTAAAAAAAGATATAATTAATTAGCTATACTCATTACCAGGTTAATTTTTAGTTCCACTCATAAGTAGTTAGTTTACTGTGACCAGAAGTTAATATTAATCAGTTGGCTTTAGTTAAAAAACAAAAGGACTAGATCTGCTTTCAATAAAAATCAACTTTTCACTTAATTTCTGAGTTTTACATTTTTCTTCTCAATGTTTTCAATTGAAACCTGGAAAATATAATTTGTGAAGATGGTAAAACCCACTGTTACTGAGTGTTAGGAGTCAGTGAAGGTGATCAACTCGGGCTTTGTATATTAAAATAGCATTTTGGTTTATGAATGAAACCATTGCTCATAGATGTTGGCAACAAGCCAAAAAAAAAAACAGAACAATTACAACACATATATATGTTTATTGATTATAAGACTTGTATTCTTTTTTTACCCCTATCCTAAAAAGTTCAGCATTGGTTGAGTAGTATCAAACTTGAATTTGCCAAGTTTGTTCATAGGCATTATTCCATTTTTTCAGGGCTTTATTTTAAGGAAATTTTCAGGTTCTCATTCAGAGGTTGTTCAGAAGACTATATTGGTTGTGCGAAAAAGAAAAACATGGACCTTCCAAAAAGATCCAATTATGACAATATTGATGTACAAAGACCCACTTATTAAAATTTTGATGTTTTTATATCCTGTTTATTTCCAAAAAGTAAATTTAACATTTAGTTGGCATCTTTATTCAACTAATTTTGTCTTATTTCCCCGGGAAGTTTAGTTACATTGGAAAAAATGAGCCCAAATGATGCTAATGTTACATAGTGTCTTAAAGGAAACAAACAGTCAATGATTTTTAGAATTTTAATAAACAGAACAGTGATCTTGGTCAATCATGTTCAATGTTTTCATTCTAACCAGTTTGGTCTGCCCACCAAGTACAGCCTGTAGTAAGACCAGACTTGCATCTTAACTCTCACACGTACTGCTATAACGTAATACGTACACAATGCCTGAGTGTTTCACATGCACACACACACACACACACACACTAATGATGTGTATTGTTGTTCATATTCATAGTTTGTATTGACCTGGATAAAGGCAAAGCTAGTCTTATTTTATTTATTGTTATTCTGTTTTGTACTGATCAAAACTTTAATCAAAATGTTAATCTAACTTATCATACATATTATGAAGTTTTCTTCTTGGGTCAGAGATCGCTGTATTTAATGGGTGTTAGCAATGCATGTACATGTATTAATTTACGTTACTAGGTGGGGTGTTTGAACCCATCACTTCCCCTGCAGACTGGTCTGATCTATACTAGAAACTAATCTCAGTAAATATTCTGCCCGCTTGCTCATGTATATGCATACAAATAACATGCAATACAATATGTGGTAATAGTTTCATTTTGAGCTTACCTACTGATTAAGTATATATTTATTACATTTTTTTTTTCCATTGGTTAAATGTTGATTTAAATACTAAACGTTTTTTACCATTAAAACTTGTCTACTTGATAATTATCACACTAGTGATTGAAACATTGTGCCTGTTTTAAAAATAAATCTTGCTAACTGTAAAATCTTTAACCTGTAAAGAGAAAAGTGTGGTAATGTAACTAACTGAGCTGTATACACTGTACTGTGTTAGCACACATAGCCATTCACACTCAGTTGAACTCCAGGGTGCTAGCTGTGTGTCGGACAACATGGGTGTATAAGGAAGTTTTTAGTCTTCTTGGACGACTGTTAAAATCAAGCTCTGCTTTTGTCGTATGCCTTGTATTTCTGGTAGTATTAAATAATCTGAATCACAAAGAGTGTTTTAATTTAAGACTAAATGGATAAAGAAACAGGACTCAAGCATCCACTAGTTTCATACAAGACAATCTAAGCAGTATGGTACTTATTAGTAATAAAAAATATAGGATAACAAACCCACTTTATGTATGAAAAATATTGAAGAGTTAAAAATATTGTCTTATTTCTGACAAACTGTAATGGATGAAACACTTACTGTTTGGACATTAAAAAAAGGAAGGTCTACAAATATAAATAGCCAGATGAAAAGGCAAAAAATAACTGGGGGAAACTCCGAGCTAGATACATGTACTTTGGTAATATAATTTTTTTAAATTACTATTTCATCATTTTTGTTTGATTTGATTTTAGCTAACTCGATATCCTTACTTAGATTAATAAAAGCACAGGGCAAGGAAAGAAACAAAACAGACCTGCACAGGACAAGGATGGAAGCAAGAATAATTTAATAATTTAAGTCAGACCTAGTGCATTATCCCACAGTTTTCAGAATATGTCATTGACTATTCCAAATAACATATAGCAAAGGAGGAAAACCTCACGGCTCAGTATTGACTTGTATAAATGTCCTTATCATTCTCTGAACTGGGTTTATCCCACCCCTGGGAGCAGGCACAGTCAAGCTGGTAGAAGCTTCTATGGGATAACCATTATAGTGTGTAACCTTTAAATAAGAAAAGGAATTAGTGTATGTTTATGACCTTTGAACATCCAATTTACTGGGAATGTATTAATTACATGCATGAAAGTTTTAAATAAATAACCTGAATATCTCTGAATATGGATATTATTGTACACTAGTTGCAGAAAAATAAGATATGATGAAATTAATATTACAAAGCATATCTAATGTTAGGCAAGCATTCACTTGTTTTTTTATTCCATTAGCTTGTACAGTAAGGAAGTGTAACTTTATTTAATTTCCATAGTTAGGAGTTTATGAGTTGTAAATTTGTTTACTTATTATCTGTACACAATAAAAATATAAGAATAATGTTTAATGTTGAATTTCTGTAGGGTTATATATCCATAAATGAAAATATAAATGTAATTTGGGAATTTATGAGTACTGGCTATAAAAAGTGCAAATATGTTTAACTTTGACCTTGCAAAATATTGTATAATACACATGTATATAGACAATTGTCTTCACATATATTTTTAGAATGCTTGTCAAGAAGAATCACGAAATGCTGAGGAAAAAGCAAAAAATTTCCAAGGTAAGCTTTTTAAAATTTTAGTACCACACACAACTTGAGTTAATGCTAACTTAACCTGACTAGTGCCTCTTCAACAACAACAACAAAATGAAATAGTACCTTTTTTCAACAACAACAAGCAGTTGCTTCTGTATTAGTCCTATTCATCATTTTGGTAATACATTTTACTGTTGTGAATCATAAGCTACTAAACAAAAGCTCCCATTTGCCCACCTTGAGCAGTATACCACATTGAAATCAGTTTATTTTTTACTTAAGTTGTGGTTTCTCACTCCTTTAGAAACTCTGACACCATGGATGTCCAATGTGCATAGATTAACTTCTAACATTATGGTTATATCATTAAACTATTCAGATTTATATGCTCTGCCAGTTACCCCATATGTTGACCACTACGGAACTTAGACTAGTGTAATATCCTTTGACAGAATTGCATGTATCTCACGTAGCAAAATAAATAGACAGCTGTTGACCTGAACAGGAATTTACATGTGTACAAACAATGCCATCATTCAGGTAAAATGATCTCATTATGTACATGGCTTTGTTGACAAAAACTTGTACTGGTTCTCATGTAATTTTTGTTTAGAATGAAAGGTTAATTGGGCAGTAAAAATCAGACATCAACAGTGTAAAACCTGACTCTGTTTAACAACACATTTTACCAATTTTGGACAGGCAGAAAATATATTAATATGAGTAATGTATAACAACTAGCAAATGCTTTGAATTATGAATCTGAGAAGCCCCAAAGTTACATCTTTAAGTCTACTTTTTTCTTAAATTCCATTAATAATTTTTTTGCTTAGTTGAAAGAAACTCTTAAAGATCAGTAACATACCTATTTAATGTTCTACAGTGGAATGTCCAGTAGCTTCCGATATGATACCTTACCTCCTCTCACATAATAGCATTTTTCATTCAGTGCTGCCTTCTATATGCACTAGCCTTGATATTCCCACCTACCCTATGTGTGTAATGTGGTACAGCTGCATTGTAGCATGCAAATAATTATGCGACAACCCTTCACCAATAGGAACACAAAACTCTCTCCTCTCATAGATGGCTCCCTTTATATTGTAAACCCAATCTTCACTTCTCGATTTGGCACAGTAGAGTGCAGATGTTTCAAAATTTTGCTTGTGTTTTGCATTGACATTTTAATATGTTAACAACTTTCTTAGTTGTTTCTAGTTTTTCTTAAGTTTTTGTGTTTGTATAGTGAAACTAGATGCTGTAGGTTGTTATGTCATTATCCACTCTAAGTTGAATTCTAATTTCTGAATTTCACAACAACAACTGTTGTTGTTGTTGTTAATACTGTCACTGCATTTCAGCCTGCAGTTCCTTAGGCTTTGTGCTTTCCACTTTCTGTTGAGAAGGTATTGATTTTTAGGGCATTGTGAGTTGGGGTCCATTATGTGGCCTGCTGTGTCTCTTGATCACAGTACAGATTTCCATTTTTCTGGGGAACCTCTATGGGAAGACACAGATTTGGATGGCCTATTTCCTTCTCGTTCCCTTGCTATGCAATTCTGAATTCTTACTGTGGAAGCTCCCAGACTGTTTTCAGCCTTCTTGGATATGGTATCACAGGTATGTTGCCTTTTGTTTATATCCTCTGTCTCTAATGATTCCTCTCCTTCCCTCCTAAATTCTGCTCCTTTTTTGGTTTAACTGTTTTTATTTTTTCCTTCTCCTGAGATCACAGTATGTGTGGACCTGTTTCTTGCATTATCATATTTTGGGGTCAGCATGCCTCGTACAATCAATGTACAATCATTTGGATTTTCCATTTATGGATATTCTTAGATTTTGGGGTTCTTGATTCCAGTATGGAAATCTGTCTCTGATACCACTGTGAAATAATTCCCCAGCCCAAATTTCCCACCTCTGTTTAATCATAACCAACATCCTGCATTACCTCTCCTCTGTCCATTTCATATTCAGGGCTATCCACAGCTTCCATGAGGAGTTGTTGGAGGATAATCGCTCCCTATTGTGTTCCACATTAGCTCACTTTTTTTTCTTGGCTATTTTCCTACATCCTTGGCTCCTTTGTTTTTGAGACACATATTTTTAGCTAATATGGGCCTACTCATGGCTCCATTTTTATGCCTAGTGATTTCTGGAGATTTTCCTGACTCATTGAAGTCTAGGGTGAGGGATTTTCATCAGCACTCCTCCCTTTCCACCTTGGTCTTGTGTATTCCACAGCATTCATCTTCTCCCATTTATGTTTTCCCTCTATCCCCCTTCTTTCCCCTTCTCCTGGGTCTTGGAGCTCATTGTCAAATTACTCATTGCCAAGTACTCCGCCATCAATGATACCTGTAACTATACTGTAGTTTCTGGTGAGTTCAAAGCACATTTAGCCAGGTTTATGCATCTATGGTATGACTTCACCTCAGTTTTTTAGATACTTGAATTGTTATATGTAGGACTTTCCATTCATTTTATCAGTCCATCTCCCTGATCCTCATTTTCCATTTCTTTCCCTCCTCCACAGGATCTGGTTTTCTGCCATCATCTCTCTGAAATATTTTTCAAGGCCACTCTATTATCCATTTGAGAGGGTTCTTTAACTCCTATCTTTGTCAGGCCCAGCCTTCTCCTCTTTAGTTGAGATTGATGGAGCTCTTGATTTTCAACTGTCAGTTCTCTCTTTCTCTTACTACATGCAAAGTTCTTTCTCCTTTGGAGACTTGGGCTTCCATGGAAACCCTCATTTCCTAGGGTTGTGCTCACTTGCAAGCCTTTTAGTGGGTGTTCCACGATAACTGGAATTCAGCTCAAGATCCCCTGGACTCAGTTCTCCTTCTACCACCCTCACTACACATCTGTTTAGCTTGATGGCTCAAACAGGGTCAACACTATAGTAGGCATTCCTCTTCTATCTCCCTGTCCCAGATTGCATCATTTTACAGATGCTTCTCTGTCAGGTTGGAGAGCAATTCCACATTCGCTATAAATCACAAGCCTTTGGTCGAGTCAGCTCTGCACATCAATGTTCTGCAACTTCTTGCTGTTCATTGAGCTTTGGATCATTTTCAACTTTTAACAGGGGACAGATTAGTCATGTTACATTCTGACATTTCGACCATTGTGTCTTCTATCAATCAACAATGGAGCACCCATATATGTGTATTTTCGAATGTTTGAACTCCTATTCTGGGCTCATTCACATCTTGCACACCTAGTATGATGTCATGTTCTGGGTGCTGTGAATCTTGTTGCAGATCAATATTCCTGACAAGATTCTCTTCATGTAGTGGTACCTCGTTTATCAGGTGTTCCGATGGTCATGTGCCCAGTGGGTTATTCCACATCCAGTGACTTTGGCAGTAGATGCCTGCAGACAGGATTAGTCCATCCTCTACTTTTATGCCTGTCTTCCTTTTCTTCTCCTTCCTATTCCCCATACTTTTCTGTGTCTAGTCCTTCTCATTGTACCTTTCTGGCCTGCTCAGCTTTCATTTCCTGTCTTTATCCTATTTCAATCTTCTCCTCAGTTACGACTTCCTCTTTCACGCTCTCTGTTTCAACAACCTTGGTCATTTGTGCATCATCCCACTTTTCTGGACCCTTGCCAGGCAGTCTATATTCTCCACACATGTATCATCCCTTCTTTCCCATTAAGTCTATCATTCATCCTTACTGGTGTCTCAGGGTAAATGGCGTGTTTTTCACAATCATTCACTATGCCATGGTTCCCTCCCTTCCTGTCCTAGCATGCCTCATGTCTTTGACAATTTTACCTTTCTGTTTCACAGTGGTTCTTCTGTGGCTACCATGACTGGTTATCTGGCAGCCTTTTCCAGTACCTTTCATTTTTCCCTTTTCCATAGAGTGTTTTCCTCTTCTGTTCTCCCCTCTTATTTTTTGCCTTTCATCTGCTTCATCCACCTTGTTCTATGCCACTTCCATTTTGGGACCTTTTTGTGGTTCTGCTGGCCCTTACCCAACCTACTTTTGAACCCTTGGTTACCTGTTAAGTGGACCACTTGCCCTGGATATCCTATTTTTTTGTGCTTCTTTTTGCCTGTGGTTGGATGTGTTTTTTGCCCTCGACATTTTACATACCACAGCACCTATGTTTCTTCTGGATCACAGTTTTTTCCTAGGATGTTGGCAACTTCAGAATGTGACATCACATTCATGACTATTTCTCTCCCTTTCCATTCCCATTTCTATTGTCATTCAGGTCCGGATCATCTTCTTTGTATTGTTCGAGCTCTCTGGTGCTATATTGCCTGCATAGCTTCTTTCTTAATTCTCTTTCTCACCTGTTTATCCATTGGAATCCTTCCTCCACCTGAGATATTTCTCCTATTACTCTTACAGCTTACTCTTCCTTGTCTCCCAATGTCTTTTCCATTATCCTTGCATCAGATCCAGCACTTCATCCTCTCCCAGGCTCCCACTTCTGTTGCCTATTGGGAGAAATCATCCAGGCTGGCATGTGGACCACAGCATACACCTTCATCTGTCATTAACTTCATCATTTGATAATCTTGTCATCAGGATACCAAGTATCACCCAGTGCCATCCTTAACAACTTGGTTCAACTGTGAATGGGTTAGTGTTTTTATATTTCTTTATTTCCTTACAATGGCTCAATTTCACATGTTGAATCCTGCTCTGTGGCAAGTGGTGCCTGTCAAAATATACTAATCTGTAAATCTGCATTGTTTGGCCTTTCATCTCTATAATGCCCACTCTTGAGATAGGGTGCTCCACAAGACTGCTAGTAGGTTCATCTTCAAGATTTATTGCATCATATATAAGCTTGTCCCAGACCATACCAACTCAGTGTTTGGATAGCTGCCTATCTTTCCTTTCTGGTTGAATAAATTGATACAAGCCTGCTTTTAGTGTTGCATTCATCTGGACTTGCCACCATGTTCTTTTCAAGTGGAGTATGGGAGCCTTTACCACTTACCATATCCTAGTTGGTGGGGTGGTGGACCATGAAGGCGTCCTTCTGAGTGTGCTCAGTCCCATTCAGTTGAGAGTAGGACAGTGGTGTTTTGTTGGTGTAGTTGGTGTGAACTCTCCTCCTACCACAGACAGTAAGAAAAATACCAGACATTGCCTAGTTTTGTACTGGAGATGATCCACCAAAATGCAGTTCACCCCTCCAGCTGGAACCCCTCATCCTACCATTGCCTGGATGTCGGTTACTGAGTGGCCTGATGTTGGATTATAGCTGTACCAACCAACATAAATCTCGAAATGTGGTTGGTAGGGGACTCTCATCCTACTATGGACGATAAATTCCCAATGCCACAGGGTTTGGACTTGAGCGAATGACCATTTTGTATTATCCCTTCCTACTGTCACCCAGCTGTCAGGTTTCTAGGTGGCCTGATGCTGGTTTTGTACTGGGTCTGCACACATGTGCTGTGACTATGATAGGAAAATGGAACCCATTTTCCCTTCTGCTTCCTCTTCTTGAGGTGAAAACAGTAGGGACCCTTCTCCTACTATGGACCAGATGATAAATACCCGATACTGCCTGGATTTGGACTGGAGTTTCCCACCCTATCCAATCTACACCATCCAATTGAGTATTTGATGTGCTCCTTTTCTGCCCAAATTAGCAACATGTATTTTCAAAAGAGGCAAAGAGTATATTTGTTCCAGATGTGGTACGATCTCCCATGGGTGTGTTCCTCTACCAAGAGATGTTACACTCCATGGGCCCTCTTTGAATGCTTTCTAAAGGGTGCTCATCTAGGTAATTTTTGCACCAGTCCTTCCACCAGTTCAATGTGGCAGTTACAGTTTTCCTACACTGAAAATATACTTCCAACAGATACCTTTTATCACACTTCTCCTACCTCCCCACTTCCATAGCTTCTTTTTTTTGCCTAAGCCAGTCGTGACAAGATTGTGTAGTGCTCCTATTGGTGGAGGGATGTCACATGATTATTTGCATACTACAGTGCAGCTGTACCACATTAAATATGTGGGGTAGGTGGGAGTATCAAGGCTAATGACGAGTAAAAAATGTGTGCATAAAGAGGGCAGCACTAAACAAGAAAAGCCTTTATGTGAGAAGTGGTAAGTACCTATCAGAAATATATTTTCAGTTTAGGAAAATTGTAACTTCAGTCACACATTTTTCTTAAGTCTAGGCTGATATCTTTCCTGACTGGCTTTGTCTGTTTAGTGACATTTTGCTCTTGACATTTGAGTATTTTGTATTATATCTCACTTAATATTCTGCTTTACCATTGTCCAAATTCTGTTCAATATGCTATATCTCTGTTTGTGTTCATGAGTTTGATTGCTTCATTCTCACTCACCTGTCTTCACTTTCAGTTGTTATTTGTCATTCAACAATTGGAAGTTTTCTTGAGAAAAGTTGAATAGACATTCAGATGAAATATTGGCCTAATCCCAAGAAAGACAGTACCTGAAGCTGAAAGGACAATAATTATTTTACTAGAGGACATAATTGTTTATCAAATCATGTATAATATTGATCATATGAACATTTGTTTAAATTTATTCATATACTTAACATTAGTATAACTAACTTTTTATTGGAAATACTAAAATACTATCTCTAAATCTGTGATTGTTTTCAGCAAAATAACATTTTGTTACATTAATGATTGTTTTGTATGTATCAGCTTTGTTGTTTTTTCCTTGTATTAACGTGAATGTGAACACATTCTTCAATTTTGTGAATAGGTTTTTATTATTTATTACCATGGACACATTATGTTGTTAATGGACTGCATAAACATATCTTACTACTCAAGACTTTCACACTATATATATATATATTCTTTGCAGACTTAACATTCTTTGAAAAGGTTGCTGCTTATGTAGATGAGGGTAAGGGTGTAGATTTGGTGTATTTGGATTTTCAGAAAACATTTGACAAGGTGCCCCATAAAAGGCTTGTAAAAAAAATATCTCTATAGGCATGGGAGAAAAGTTAGCAAATTGGATAGAAGAGTGGCTGGATGAAAGAAAGCAGAGGGTTGTCACAAATGTAGTTCAGTCAAACTGGATTAATGTCACATGTGGGGTACCTCAGGGCTCAGTCTTAGGACCTTTGCTTTTTTTTGACTCACATCAATGACATAGATGAAGAAATATTCAATAAATTACTTAAATTTGCAGATAATATTAAGGTCTTGGGTGTTGCTACCTGTATTTGAATTATAAGTAATTTATATGGGAATAACTTATATAGCGTTATGAAGGAAAGGGATCTTGGTGTAATAGTCGATCAGTCTCTAAAGCCATCCAAGCAGTGTGCTGTTGCTAGTAGTATGGCAAATATGATTTTATGTTGTATCTATAGAAATATTGAATACAAGTCTAAAGAGGTTATACTCTCATTGTACAGGTCACTGGTTAGGCCACATTTGGAATATTGTGTTCAGTCTTGGGCTCCATACCTTAGGAAAGACATTGAATTGTTGGAAAGGGTTCAGAGAAGGGTTACTAGAATGGTGCCTGGGATGGAGGGTTTGTCATACGTTGAGAGGCTGAAATCTCTCAGATTGTTTTCTCTTGAAAAAAGAAGAATTAGGAGAGGATCTAATTGAAGTGTTTAAGATTGTAAAGGGAATTGATAATGTTGAAGTATCATCTTTTTTATATTTAACAATGACAATAGTAGGACTAGGGGACACAAATATAAATTTGGGCAAGGTAGAAGTCATCTTCAGCTGAGACAGTTTTATTTTTCTAACAGGATGGTTGGCCTTTGGAATGGG